ATTAATCTTTACTTACAAATTTAAATCTTGACTCTGGTGCAAACATTATACACTCTCTTCTTTGTTCAACTAGCTAGTTTCAATATTCAATACAACATTTCTTTTATCATTCAATTATCAGTCCCTCTAGCCACCATATTGAACTATGGTCCTCATCATCAACCAAACAATTATCATTTCATTCCTATACTACAAGCTTTTCATCTCATGATTTTGAGATTCAAAATAGCCATTTAAACCCGAGGCCTCTCAATCCCAACCATAGCTTAAATGCTCGTACAAATCCATGCTTTTTTTTTTTTTTTGCTAAGAATAAAAACAATACAAAATCTTTTTGCTCGAGTTACAGGAGCTACAATTGCAAGGGATTTGAAATCTCAATCCTCTCTCAAAATATCTAAGACAACAGATGAATTTTTAGCACCAAGTAAACTCTAATAAACTTATTACTCAAACATTAAAGACTTAAAAAAAATGAAAAATTAATGTCATTGAAACCCTCAACTCGATTGCAAAGAAACCCATTTGGGCAATCAACCTTTTGGCACTACATTGACATTGTCATATTACTCAACTTGGTGTTTCCAATGCATTTCTCTGTCATCATCTAATCATTTCAACATCTCAACCGTTACATTTTATTGCATGTCATCTTAACAAAGTTATTTAAGATCTCAAACAATCCCTAAACTAAGAAGCAATCCTAATCCTACAAAATTCCATCAATGCTTGCTTCTCTTAAACCGCAAAATTATGCACTTCAGACATTTGATGCATAATTTTTGACATACCGACTGACTCGCCAACTCCTATTATAACCTAAACTTCTATACTTCATACTCGAATAAATGCATTAAAATTTGCAGTTATTTCATTTGGGATTTCAATAAATCAAATGAGATCATAATATCAAAATATTTACCAAAGCTCGTGGTATCATTTCAAAGTATTAAAATATCATCTTAGATTATAAATAATATTTAAAATTCTATAATGTATTGTTTAGATCACATAGAATAATATTTTTAGAGATTATGCGTGGGTGGATTTCAGTCAAAATGCTTTAAAAAATGTGCGTGGGTGCGTATGGTCGGCCTTTGTGGCAAGCAAATTTAAGGAAAAGGGCAGCTAGTGTCAGTTAAAGAGATGCTATTGCTTGCCTATGTACCATTATTTGCTAGGAAGAATCTGGTAGTGGGATGCAAACCCGGCCTGTCCTTGCAGTTTTAATTAAAATTATAATACAATATATATAAAAAATATATTCGCAAGTCAATGATTCCAATATAATTTTTAATAAATTTGGAGATGAATTTTGGATATATAGTACTGTACTTAAAATTTTTTATCATTTACTTACATACCACTAAATTACTACGAGTTTATATGTCTAGCACATATTTCACATATGAAATTGAAATCTTCATAATGTTGTGAAAAGCTTATAATCATGTGTGCAGAACTTTTATTATAATTTTTTTTTTTTTAATTTTGATTTGTTTGTGGATCAGACATAAGGAAAAGAGCATAAATAAGGAGAGATCGAGAGAGATGGAAAGAGAGAGAATGAATAGTAATATATCACATCTTATTCGTAAATTGATTCTCCTATTTATAAAACATAGGTATCTTGTGTTAAAAAGTGTTTTGTGTTGTTGTGTTTCTAGTAGTTTATATGGGTCAACCTGTCATATGTTGCTTTCCGGCTCGGTCGGCTAGGTTTAATCGGCTTCGGGTCGGCAATATCAGCTCGATCAAATGAGAGTCACTCGGTCAGATGAGCTTGATCAATATGGATTAGCTCGGTTGTCTGAGCTTGGTTGGTATATATTAGCTCAGTCGTCTGAGCTTGGTTGGTATGAATCACCCCATTGATACAACCCTACTGTCGATCATTGACCTGAGCCTTTGTGCGTCTCTAGGAGGTTTAGAGATGCTTGGGAATTAAATCTTCTCGTTATGTCGGACTCTCTTATGGTGGTTGGCTTCGATACTCTTTTCTCTTGTTTCTGGTTGTTGACTCTTTTTTATATCCTTTGGTTGTCTTGGATCCATCCTATAATTCAGCTGGCTTTGGCCTAGCTAGCCTAGCTCGGACAACTTCCATTCTTGACTGTTAAATAAGTTAAAAGAGATCCAAATGGGTTGGCAATATGCACCTATTGTTTATATAATGGCTGCCTCGGATCATTTGTATTTTGTTAATATTTAAATGGGGGTATCATTTTAGTGTCTATTAGAATAAAAATGAAAGTAACAAATTTGAAGTACTTGAAATTCCGCTAAATGATATGGAGGGCCGGGAATATTGGCAAAGTATCAAATTTTGGTTACATCTCAGGAGATAAAAATAAAATCATTATGAAATTTTGCTTACATACCTCACAATTTTTGTGTATTTACATATCTAATGCCTAAAGTTTTATATTTACACTTAATACACATTGGAGTTTGGCGTCATATAAACTTATACAATAAAAGATATATTTCACTTATAAAATTTTTAATAATATTGATATTTTTACGAGAAGTTAATTCTTTTAATGTTATAAATATGAATATGAAGTTTAGATGTTAAAAATATAAATGCATTAGAATTGTGTGCTATGCTCGTAAATGCCCCTAAAATGTTATAAGGGGAGAATCGACAGATATTTAAAAGCTTAATATAAACTAAGTTTGAATCATAGTTAATTAAAAGTCACTTTTCTATCCTGTTCCACTTATGAGTCTTTTCTCCTCGTTTTTTTTTTAAACCTCATTGACACTGAGGCGAGAAAGTCATGACATGAGCTTGCTAGAGAAGATAAAGTAGTGAATAGACTCATTAAAGAAGGTAAAACCATAGCTAGAGCTCAATGGAGAAGGTGAAATCATGATGGGAGTGCCAAAATCTAGCATCTCATCGTCAAAATCCAGTGTTGCATTGCCAAAAACCAGAGCATGGGTGTCAAGATGAAAGATAAGAAGACAAATATTCCATAGCCTAGGAGCCAAAATCCATTACCGCAATGCCATCATGCAGAGCCTAGGCGCCAAACTGCAGGGCCGCGGGGTGATGACTGACGACCCCAATAAGAACAATTATTGATGCCAATTTTAAATTTTTGGGGAGGAAAATAATTGGAAGAGTTGGATTTGCTTTAAAGGAGTGTTAGAGTGTGTCTAGGAGAGTCCAAAGAGGTGGTTGGTGGTATTACTTACATGTTTCCATATTATGAGTGCCTAGAGTGAGTACTTAAGTGTGGGAAAGTCATTGTAAGAAAGATAAAGTGAGAGTTTGCACTGTGTTGGTAAAATAAGGCTAAGATTCAGAGGAGATCTCGGAAAATTTATTGATTCACCAAATTTTATATTTTCTATTTCTTATCTCTTTGTATTAACACTTATATCCTAATTTTGCTTCACAATTATATCCTCATTTTGCTTGACTGCAATGAAGAATTCTATGTGATTTTGTAGTCTCGTGTTAGGATATTCTCTTTTCTTTCAATGGAATTCTAAGTTTAATAAATTTAATGTAGAATTAGGTTTAAATATTTAAAACTATTTAAGTAGTAATTTGTGAAATTCTATTTTCATTTAGCAATTAGTTGTGGTCATACTGTTATTTAAAAAGTCTCGTGGATTTAAGATATGAATAGGGTTCTTGTTTGTACAAGAGATTTTACATTGTAGAATTAGGAAAATAGACATATTCTCCTCGACTATTTGTAATGAATAAGAAAATGTGTATGTTCCATTTTTTTATCAAATACGAGCATATACATATTACTTAGGGTTTTCAAAATGTTTGTTGTATTGCTATTGTGGAAGGCTTTAAACTATTAATATTCTCGGTTGATGACTTACATTATTTTAACCTAACTTGTTACATTGATTTTATGAGTGAAAAATCGCTAAGAAATGAGCTCTACTCGCATCATAGTTCGGTTCCTAGTCATCATCAGGCACACACCTAACAAAATTAGTCGTGCTTGCATCATCAATCATTTCCTCATACATATCAAAATCGTGAACAGTTCGAGGGGCACAAGTTGATGAGGCTTCAGCATGACCGTACTAAACATATAGTTCAAATTCACCAAGTGAAGTATAATACCAATAATCAGGTTTAAATCCTCTACGGTATAGGTCCAACTTCACTTCAACAGGTGTCAGGTACGCAAGATAAACTGACAGTTGTAATGTCGCGTGCACTAACTCTTCAACATCAACAATAAACTCATCAATTAATTATTTTCTTTTTGTATATAATATATTATACATCATGCGCAAAAACTTTAGGCGACTTACACATCATACTCGAAACCCATAACCCACAAATCCATAGAATCAACCAATTCATCCATTAACACCCAAACTAACCCATCAACCCAGCATTACAATATTCAATTACCACACCATTATCAACCTTAGAACACCTTCTTACACATGTACATATCTGACACCTAAATTTTCATAATTACATATATAGCACAAATTTCTTATGCATTTACATATCTCACATATATATAGCACAAAATTTTAATGTATTTAATAAATCCGGATTTGCATGATTTACAAAATGCTAATAACTTAAATCTCATCTATTGCCAGACAACACCTCATATTTACATAAATATCACTCAAATCTTTAACAGCACATAAAAAAAATATCAAAATCACTATCTTTTTAAAATGAATTATATATTTTTTATGCATAGATTTATGAAACCAAGATGTTATAAGTGCAAATATTCAACCATGGGTGTTAGATATGTAGATACAAAAGAATTGTGCGGTATGTGTGTAAATTCACCACGGTGCTGTAAGGAGACATGGTGGAGAAAAGAAATCAAAACATAATTAGTGTAAGAAAAACCGTGTCCGATCCAAAAGAGACAGCCACAGAAGAGAGTAGGAATATAGAATATACATTATCGAATCTGGGCAACAATTCTTCCAAAAAATTAAAATAAAATAAAAGTTGTGAAAGATGTCGCCTCAGCTCCGGAATCATGGTGATGGACGAGGTCGTGAGATTCCCACGAAGGACGGCCATTAGCGGCGGAAAATGGCGCTTCGTGGGCCACGGTGGCGCTCCTTTCGCCGGCAGGAGACTGCGCTCTCCCGCTTTCAAGCCATTTGGACTCGAACTAAAGTTCTCCATTGAGAAGTTGCTCCCTCTCACTTTTCTCTTTGGGATGTCACGTTGCAGGTGCGGCAAAACCTGTCTGCTGGAATCCATCTGATTGCGACGTCTCCCCGAATACACTTTAATTTCTTTTAACAAAATATATTTTTGATTTTGTTGTTTTCTAAATCTGAAAATTTTTTTATCAAATAATTAGTTTGGCCCCTCAATAAACTCCTGTCCAATTCCTACAAAATTAAAATAAGATTTATATACATTATACATACATCTCAATTCTTTTATATTTATCACATTCTCTTCTCTCTATAAATGAAATAGTACTGATACGCTATCAATAAATTTTCATTACACATCACGAATCACGAGACATAACATGAATCTCGAGGCAACCTTTTCAGTAAGAAACATTTAAACTTCCATTAAAAGTCATCCAGAACACCAATTTCAGCGAACTTATAGTCAAACTGACTGACTCGATTAGACAGGCCTAATGATATCAAACTTAGTTCAATTCGAGTTAAATCAAACCCAGATCAAGTGATTAAATCATTCTTGCAAGATTTCCGGACACATTTGAAAGATCAAACGAATGTCAAATTTAACCAATTCATAGCCGAATCGAGCATCTCAACAAGACGAATCCAACGAGCCAAAGAATGCTCAATTTCGACATTGTTAAGGTACTCAAATGTCCATCAAACGTTATCCGATTGAGGGAAGCTCTCCGAACCATTCGCTTAAAATGGTTCATATTCCTGCATTAATTGCAGCCAGAACACTATAAATAGGGCTCCACCCCTCACATGAGGGGAGAAGCTTGAGAGAGAACTTGAGGCTTTGAGAAGGAGTTCAAGTCCAACACCATCCCTGCCACCGCCGGCCACCGTCAACCACCGTCGATCATCGCAGACCTCTGTCGACCACCTTTGATCACCACCGACCTCCGTCAACCACCACAGACCTCCGTCGGTCATCGTCGACTACCATTGATCACTGCTGACCTCCGTCGATCACCAGCCACAGTCGGTGAATACTATCGGCCACCATCGATCACCGCTGACCTTCGTCGACCGTCGTCAACTGCACTCGACCACCACTGACCTTCATCGATTTACGTTGACTACTGTCGACCACCGCTGACTAGACGTCGTCAGTCGACGTTATAACTTGGAAAGCTAGTAACCATTTCCCGTTTGTGGGATAATGGGTCTCTGTAATCGTCAATCAATAGTAGATTTTCGCAATTGGGCCAGACTCTGTGGTTTTTTCACTTTTTGGGTTTTTCACGTAAAAATTTTGGAGTCATCATTGTTTGTTTCTCTTTTCATCTGTGTATGTGTTAAATTCTCATATAACGCTAAAACGACAATTTGTTACTCTACCGCCGTGAATTTTATAGCACGCATCAAGTATATATGGTGATATTCTTGATGTGATAAGAAAGATTTGAGCGGAAAAGATGCCAATTTATTAGTAAAATCTATAATAAAGCCCTTTTGAAAAATTTCACCCTTTTGATGAATTTACATACATAACATTCAATTCCTATATATCTATATAAGCACGTGTTAGAGTTTGATATTTATTAGTGGATGTCATGGACACATTAAACTATATACATAAGAATGTGTCTTTCTTTCTAGAGAGTTTAGTATTAACAAAAATGTTGATGTGATATTAATAATTTGTGTTATATAAATTAATATCAAAATTATTTAATACTAGATATTTAAAAGCATAAAATTTATGCTGTGTGCACGTAAATGCCTTTTTTTTCTCAGCCGGATGTAATTGTCCCAAGATTAGCGGCAAATTGCCTTATGGCAAGAATTAGATTGAATGTATCTTCGTTTCGTCTTTCAATCGAATAATTAATTAAGGTATTTCTGCTTATGACTTCTGTCATATATGCCACTTTGTTAACGCTTATTACAAGAGAACGTTCCAGATGATAATCTACCATCATATTTTTGACAAATACACAGTCTCAAAATATAAATATATATATATATATATATAGAGGAAGCCCTCCTTAATAAAAAGAAATGAAATAATTTAATACAAGTGACAAATGGTGATTAAAATCCTGATATATTTGTATATTAAATAATTCCCATTTTCTCCCTCCAGGAATCTGGTTGCTAGCCCATATGTCCCCGCGCGCCTATTTAAAGCTCAACCCCAGCGAAGATTTCTCCGCAGCGAAATCAAAATGCACGTGTCTATACCTCACCATTTCAACCAGATTCCCCTGCCACCCCCCGCAACAAAGCTCGTTCCCTTCACCCCGGCCACGGCCACGGCCACCTCCATCTCCTACCCTCACCGCCGCCTCGCCTCCACCACGGCCACCGTGACCTCCACCACCATCCTTAAACCACCTTCCACCGAACCCATCAGCACCCCCTTACCCACCGATTCCATCGCCACCTCCTTCTGGGACTACCAAATGCTCTTCCTCTCCCAGCGCTCAGAAACACTACACCCCATCCCCCTCCCCATTTCCGACGGATCAATCCCCTCCGACTTCCCCGTCGGCACATACTACCTCGCCGGACCCGGCATCTTCTCAGACGACCACGGATCGACCATCCACCCTCTCGATGGCCACGGCTACCTCCGCGCCTTCGAATTTCGCGACGCTGGTGCGGTGCGGTACTCCGCGAGGTATGTTGAGACGGATGCAAAGAAGGAGGAGAGGGAGGAGGAGACGGGGGAATGGCGGTTCACGCATCGAGGGCCCTTCTCGATGTTGAAGGGAGGGAAGAGGGTCGGGAATACGAAGGTGATGAAGAATGTGGCGAATACTGCTGTGGTCAGATGGGGTGGGAAGTTATTGTGTTTGTGGGAAGGTGGGCAGCCGTACCAGATTGATGGCAGGACGTTGCAGACCATCAGCCCCATTGCTTTGATTCCTGATGGAGATCAGGTTGGTTGCCGCCGATGGCCAAAATTGCCGGAGGTGGGCTTCGATTTGGCCGCCGCTCTGCTCCGACCGGTGCTGCACGGTGAGTAATCCATCGGTCATAGTAATATATTATTAGCGGATTATACCGATCAACGTCATATAATGATAAAAAAGCTTAGATTGAAACTTTTTTTTAAAACGCATTATATCCAATTAAAGAGTTCTAATTTATTAAAAAGTTTATTATTGAACTTATCAATTGTTCTTTATGGAAAACTACAAGGCAGTCGCGATTAGCATAGTTGATAAAAGTGAAAATAGCGATAGTTTATTTATTTATTTATTTTTTGGATGTTATAAATGCCAAAATTAAATTTAAATGATGAAATAGTAATCATAACCAGAAACTTGTCGGTCTTATATATTGATTTGTTCTTATGATTTAAGGGGGGATAAGCATGTTCCATTTGCCTGAAATATTAATAATCGTCAATACTTATTCAATTTTATTCATTAATATTAGATGATGACACATATTTTGCCTGAAATATTAATAATCGTCAATACTTATTCAATTTTATTCATTAATAATAGATAATGACACATATGAGAGAGAAAATAAATAGGATTAAATGTTGGCATGATATGCCAACTCACTCTAAACCCAATTAAAAAAATTGGGATTCGAGCTGATCCTAATAATTTTCGGGTTAGATTTGGTGGAATCAGAATCTCAACCCAATTAACTTTTCGTGTCCGATATGGGTTGACCCACCGACCTGAAAATGTTTTCCGTCAACTCGAAATTCATCAAATATTCACTTGAAATAAACTCAAATTTAACCCGAATAGTTGTTTTATGTTATACGGGTTATGTGGGTCTTCGCGTCAATGGGTTTAATTCGAGAAAGACTTCTAATGTTTATTTCAATCGGGTTCATGTCATACATTTTTGGGTCAGACCCGAACCTGACCCACTATAACATTTTATTAATTAATTTTTTATTCAAAAAAGGAGATGGAACTTAAAACATTTCAAGAATTGGTTTTACAGGTGTTTTTAAGATGCCACAAAAAAGATTGCTGTCACATTATAAAATAGATGAGAAGCTGAACCGTCTGCTCATTCTTTCTTGCAATGCTGAAGATATGCTGCTCCCTCGCTCCAATTTTACTTTCTATGGTAATCTTTTGCATCTTCCCTTCGTTTATTATGTGATCAGTAGCTCTCAATTCTTATTAGCCGGCTGATTTAACCATTACTTAACCGCCCAGTTTCATTTTTATTCAGTTGTTAATCAAAGCTGATAATATCCCTAACATATTTTATTGAATAAAACAAATTGCAAGTTTGTTTTCTACTTATCTTTTGACTTGAGCCTCCTTTTGCTTATGTTAAGCAAGTGGCATTGCGAATGAATCTGCAGTCCAATGGTAGGGGGTCATCTCTCACCCATGGCAAGTAAAAAATATTATGTCAGGACTCCGAATGCATCCGGAGTCTAATAGTGGGGCGTCACGTGTCAAGTGAGTCCCATAAATTTTAACACTGATCAATGTCAGTGTATTGCGGTGGGCCCATTTGACACATGACGCCCCGACATTGGACTCCAGACACAAATTGCGTCTGGAGTCCGGATGTAATATTTGCTCCATGGCAAGGGTGTGATTCGCATGCTAACCACTAATCTTGGTGCTCTTAAATAAAGTAGACAACTTGCTAAAATAAGAATTATGTTTTTTAAATTAAAAACTTTTTCTTACAAATTTTAAAATTCTCTGAGAATTAACTTTTTTAGAAATATGAATGTTATATTTATAGCACCCTTATTTGTCAAACATCTTAATTTGTTTTGTCATATCAAAGTGATCTCATTTGTATTCATGTTTCATGCTAATTTTTAAATCCGAACAATGCAGCTTTAAATAAAAGCATTATTGCACAATTATTCAAAACTCGTATTTCAAAATTATAATTGCTATAAGCTCCTTGCTTGCTCATTTATATTCATTCATTCATCTGGCTTTACTACATTCTTAAATATAAATAAATGCATTGCAATTTTTAAAATTTTTGAAATACAATAAAATTAAATTTAAACATCAACATTTTCTGCTCTCATTGCAGAATTTGACAGCAATTATGAGCTGAAGCAGAAAAAAGAGTTCACCATTTGTGATCATCTCATGATCCATGACTGGGCTTTCACTGACAATCACTACATTCTCATTGGCAATCGTATCAAACTTGATCTCCAAGGTTGATATCACCATAATTTTCAATCATAAATTACTGCATTTATTAAGGGCTTGTTTGGGACCAATTTTATTTTTTCTTTTATTTTTAAAAACATATTTATTTAGTGTATTTTTTGCATGTCTTTATTTTTTGTTTCAAAAGTAAATTATGTTTTATTTTAAACACTCAAAATATTTTAAAATTGTTTTATGTGTTTTTAAAAACAACTAAACATTTTATGAGGCACAAAATATTTTTTTTATTACAAATAAAAACATAAACAAAAAGATAAAAAAATTTAAAAAAAAATCAAATGTGATCCCAAACAGCCAGTTGAGTTTGATCAAAGCAATTAAAACCAAAAAATCTGACAAATGAACCATGAAACAATGCAGGATCAATGCTAGCAGTGTCTGGTCTTTCTCCTATGATTTCTGCACTCTCAGTAAATCCCAGCCAATCAAAAACCCCCATTTACCTCCTTCCAAGATCTGGAAGCTCAGTACAAAAGCTCAGAGATTGGAAAGTTCCCATTGAAGCACCATCTCAGCTATGGATTTCTCATGTTGCCAATGCATTCGAGGAAAATGACGATGAAGATTCAGGCGGCGGTGTTAGGATTCGAGTCCATGCCTCAGCTTGCTCTTACCAGTGGTTTAACTTTCAGAAAATGTTTGGTAAATTAGCCTTTTTTTTTCTCTCTCTCTCTCTCCCTCTCTCACGCACACACACGCAAACACACACATCTACACACACAGAGGAGAAAGAAGACAAACTAATCCTTGCAAATCTAAATGGTTTTCACTTAAAGCTGAGATTTTTATAGGTTATAATTGGAGGAACAGGAGGCTGGATCCATCTTTCATGAATAAATCAAAAGGCAATGAGACCCTGCTGCCACACCTTGTTAAGGTAAACTAATCCTGCATTATCTTCCAAAGTAAAAATTGACCAGAAAGTTCAATTCGATGGTTCGAAGTGGTAGCTCTGTCTTTATTCTGGATATACTTATCCGGTTTATTTATGAAGTATTATAATTGTAGATGTAAAATACGGTATTTTTATCTAATTACTAGAGACCTTTCTTTACTTCTTATGGTTGTGGCAGATAATAGTTTCTTCAAAATAAGTCAAATATTAGTTTTCAAAAGTTTTAGCGAGAGTATTCTCAGTTAAATTTAACTCAGAAGATAAGGTATATCTTCTTGATTTTTTTTATATGGAATTTCAAGTTACATATTTTTATTTTATGTTGTATAATTTTAATTATAAGAAAAATTATTATTTAGTAAAATTAAAAAAGATATCCTACAATTCTATAAAAATGTAATGAATTACATGTATATTTCATTTCAATAAGGAAATCATGCAGTTTACTCTATTATATTGGTGGAAAGCATAGTGTCATCTCCCAAAAGAACCCTTATGGGTGGTGGGCAGCCCAGGACTTAAATGCTGCTTTTCGGCCATACACCTAACCAATGTGGGACTATTTGTCAGTAACATTCTCCTCCTCCCAATCACGTGATGCCCTCGTCACGAATTGGCTCCACTGAGGGTCTCACTGGACCATGGAGAGTCCACACGCTTGGCAGGCAATAATCTAATCTGATACCACTTGTCACCTCCCAAAAGAGCACTTATGGGTGGTGGGCAGCCCAGGACTTAAAAACTGTTTTTCGGCTCTACACCTAGCCAATGTGGGACTATTTGTCCGTGACAATAGGCCGTCATATAATAAAACTATTTTACAAGATAGGACTTATAATTCATATTTCAAAAAAGAAAAAAATTTCTCAAAATAATATAATCTTAAAGTAAGAATCATGTTGTGGGTTCTAAAAGCTTGAGTTATCTAACCTCTAACCATTTAGTAAATTTAGATTCTCTGAGACAAGTTTAAAATTAACATTTATTATATGTAAGCAATGAGCACAGATAATAAAAAATAATTAGCAGCATATTTTTCTATGATAATATATCAAAATGGAAGCGCCTGTATATCAACAACATTATAAAATACATGCTTAAACATAAAGAACATTTCAACAGAGACTGAAAGATGCTCAGATGTCAATTTTTATTCATTTATCTCATTTTATGTGCTTAAAAGTCCTCTTTCTTTCTAATGTTTACTCTTTTATTATCTTCTCTTAAAAAATATATTAAAAAAAGATCATGAAAATTTTAAAATATACTCTAGAAGCAAATTATCATTTATCTGTTTTTATCTGTTTAAAAGCTCTCTATTTTTTCAGTGGAATGGTTTTAGAAAGCGTTCTAGTATTGTATGATTTCTTCATAACTAATATTGTATATATTTTAATATTAGTTATCATTTCTTTATAGATCTCCATTCACTTGGATGCAAGCGGAGAGTGCCGGTCCTGCACTATTGCCAACTCCTCAAGCAAATGGAGCTGGCCGGCTGACTTTCCGGCGATCAACGGAGCCTTCGCTGGCCAAAGAAATAAGTTCATGTATGCTGGCACGGCTTCAGGAACAAGAAGGTTCTTGCCTCATTTTCCCTTCGACTCGGTGGTGAAGATAAACTGCTTCGATGGCACGGTATCCTCTTGGTGCGCAGGTAGAAGAATGTTCATCGGAGAACCCATTTTTATCCCCAAAGTTGGTGCAGTGGAAGAAGACGATGGCTATATTCTAACTGTAGAGGTGAGTATTATGCTTCCTTCTAATTTTATTCTTCAATACAATTTAATAATTGAACTCTGTTTTCTATTTTTTGTGGCGAGCATTTTGATATATGATATAAATACCACACAATTCTTATGTATCTACATATCTAATACCTGAACTTTCATATTTACATGCATGTCGCTCAAATCTTCAAAATCATGCATAGGATTATGACACCTAGATATTACAACTGTAAATGTCAAATTTTGTGTCTTAAATGTATCGATCCAAAAAAAATATGTGGTATGTAAGTAAATTTTCCTTTCTATTAGTGTAATTTTTTTTAAATTTCAATAATTGCTCTAATAATCCTTCTTAATTACAAAAGAGAGGCATTTACAAACATACCAACACAGTTTATATGTAATTACATATCCAATACCTAAATTTTCATACTTACAGACATAAGAATCAAAATATTAACATGTTATCGAAAATACCAACATTGCTTGTCTTTTAAATTAGGTGAAATACACCTTGTGATGTATAGGTTTATAACACCAACGTTTGATAAGTGTAAATATCAAATTGTTGGTGTTAGATATATAAATACATAAAAACTATGTGGTATGTATATAAATTCTCCAAAATAATGATAATTATAGTAATAATAAGGGTATGAGATTTTGATATTATTTTTGTTTGTTTACAGTATGCAGTTTCGAAGCTGAGATGTTATTTGGTGATATTGGATGCAAAGAGAATTGGGAGAGCCAATGCGCTTGTGGCGAGGCTGGATGTTCCCAAGCATCTTTACTTCCCTCTCGGCTTCCATGGATTTTGGGATGATTTCACACATATATAATCCCAACATTAAACAATATCATCTGTATATGATGTCATTTTTTACCTTCATATGTGTAAATTTCATGTAAATTTTCTTTCAGTCATACATGTATGATCTTAAGAAGAGGGAAGAGGGAAAATTATAGAAAAATAAATGCATATTTTTTCAATTGATGCGCAAATAAATAATGTATGGTGTACAAATATAATAGAACTGTATTGAAAGAATGTGTAGGAAATGAAATGAAATCGACTCAGTTTGTGATTTTACTGTTAGTCTGTTCACCTGCGGCCTTATTTATTGAGTTTTTGAACAGCTTTTTTTTTTTCTAAGATTAAATATTAAATTTTCTTGCAAATTGGTGATAACTGATCCATTAAGTTTTTGCTTATCTTTTGTTTGATATGAGAGATATATGACACCAATTCTTGGTGTCTGAATGTACTGTCATTTTGGCATTAATGGTCATTTATTAGACTATTCCGTTCGTTATTTGTAGGGAAATTTATATATGCAGCACACAATTCTTATGTATTTATATATCTCACACCTAAATTAACTTCCATATTTACATACATGGCACATTGGCGTTTTAAAACAATGCAACAAAATGTGTATTTGACTTTAAAAAATGATAATGGTGCTATTTTTTTTAATGAGAAGTCGTCCCAAAAAATTCACCATCAAGGTGATATGTTGGTAGCCTGCTAACTGCTGGCAAATTTGGGAAGATTGGCGATACGGGCCGCCATAAATATTGTGACCCTGTTAAACTTACGAAGTTTCCACCAAGCATTTTATCTGAATTGTATTCCAATTTTTTGCATAAATATTCTCATCCTATTAAACATAAGCTCCGTATTTCGGGCATCTATGCGTCCGGTTTCAAAGAGTGCAACACCCTCACGCCTAGAAGTAGCACGGGTGTGCCAGGTGTTGTTCATCTTATGATTCAGTTTAAAGCTTTTGATTCAAGCAACGAAGGTTTCAACTCTCGCGTGCGGTGTTTCGACGAGGTACTTGTGAAGCAGAGAAGAGTCGGGGAGGAGGATTTTAGCATAAAATTTCTCTTGTCATATAGAGATGAAGATTTTGGAACAAAGTTATGTAAGTTTCTTTAATTGTAAATGGGAGATCTAAATGAGCATTTATGCATATTTTTGGTTCTTTGTGTTGAAAATTGCTTTATGTTACACTTGCTTTGTGATTTTTTTTTTCATTCTCAAGTTTTTTCACATTAAATATTTTTTGTGCTTCTTCTAGAATCTCGAAGAATATCACGAATCTAGAGGTAATTTTTTAGCAATGAACATTCAAATTTCAATTAAAAATAGTCGAAAACTACAAATTCAACAAACTTATAGTCAAACCAACGAGCTAGATAGGACGAACCCAATGATACCAAAATTGGAATAATTTGAGCCAAATCAAGCCAAGGCCAAGCCTTTAAAACACATTTGGGAGCCTTCAATGCATAATTGGAAGGTCAAATATATTTCAAATCAGAAAACCTTATAGTTAGATCGAACGTCTCGGTGAGATACATCCAAAGTTCTCATGATCGGTTAATTTTGACATCATTAAAGTACTCAAATATTCACTTAATATCATTCGATTAAGGAGTAGTCTTAATTCCTTCCTTATTTATAGTGATATATCTCCCATACTCTATAAACAAAACTTTTCCCTCTTAAGAGGGGGCAATAGATCTTGACCTATAATAAGGCCAAAGCTTGAAGAAGAAGTTGAAGTACTAGCATCGCGTCTGCATCTAAGATCCGACAAATACCACTAGCTTTTGTAGTCGTCGACCACCTTCAAACACCACTTGACACGCACCATTAGCTGCTTTCTACCTGATGTAACAAAGCTCCATGTGAAGTCAAGACTTGTGTTGCATTGTGACAAATCACATTGCGAAGTAACAACTGACGTTGTGGAGCAAAAATCATCCTACAAAGCAGTGCATTATCTTGAACATAGTGACATCCTAGAAGACGGTGTACCGAAGCTCCATCAAACACTCCTCGATGAGATCACTCCCTATTGTGGGGCAACAAACTCTTCTACACACGACAATTGTAAGTCAATAACCCTGTAACCATTTTCCGTCTATAGGACAAAGGTCTGTCTTGTAATCACTAGCTCATAGTGAATCATTTCAATGGGACTACGCCACATGGATTTTTACCTTTTTGGGTTTTAATGTAAAAACTAATGGAGTTTTTACTCGTCACTTTTATTTTCTAAGTGTGTGATGGATTTTCGTGTAATGCTAAGATAATAATTCATCACTACTCCGTCGCAAATTCTCTAACGCACATCAATACGGAGGTGCAACATGGTTGGGGCTAGTGTATTGGAGATTGGCAGGAACCAAAATGAAGGCTCGCTACTTGGAGGGTTAAGCTTAAGGTTGTAGCAAGTGATCATTGCTACAGAAGAAATGCCGAACTTGCGAAATCACGAGTAGAAAATGGAGAAGGGTTGGACAGACTGCTTAGGTGTAGTAGTATATGAGGGTGATAGCAAGCAGTCATTGGATTTTTAAAAAAATCGAGCTTAAGCAAGCTCATGCTTAGCTTGCATTCAGCTTGCTTGAAATTGGTTCATTTCATGTTTGAAATTGTTCGTAAAAAATGTATATGTGTTTAGTTCAATTTACATATTCTTAGTCATGCTTGGCTTGTGTTCGACACGAAATTAGAAAAATTGACGTAGGGTGTTAAATTTAAACTTGCGTGGTTTATTACAATAAAAATAGGAGAATCGCTTGATTAACAAGCTATAATAATTTAAACTTTAATAGAAAAACATTTAATAATATCAACAAAAGAAGCCTTCTTTTAAGGTTTAAAACTGAAGTAGTCGGTGCTTGAGAAGAAGCAGAAGCCATATATATATATATATATATATTTATTTATTTATTTAGAGCCAAAATAAGCCTTTGTCCGTGTCCGATTTATTTGCTTAACAAACGAATCAAATATGAGTTATTCGCAAAAACTTTTTTGAAGCAAATTTGAAATCCCGCATCTTTTTTTATTAAACATGCGAGTAGAAGATAAAAGGGTTAGAACTAGGTTATTTCTTATTAAACTAATAGGAAAAATTAGAATCAATAAAAACATTGTTAATGGTGTCCATTAGCCGTGGTTAAAAGTACTACGAGCTCTACTATATTGCTGATCTATATTTTATATTTAATAACTTAGATTTTTATTATTATTTACCCATGTACATGAATTACATGAGTTATATTTTCATATGCTTTTGCATTATTAATTTTCAATACTTGTTTCTCCTCCAAGTTGTATCATATATTTGTTGGATCCTAAATTGTACTTTGTGAACGGACTCCGAGAGTTTATGGATTGAGTGAAGGGGAAGATAAGAGAAAGATAGAATATAGCATGTCAGGGGTTGCTTATTGAGAGAGTCGGTGAAAGTTCCTTTTATTTGTATTTTTCCCCCTTATTTATAGATGTGTATTTTGTAGAAATACATAAATGAGGGATATAATTATGAAAACTGCTATTAATACAGTGGATATTCTCATTAATCGTATGAATTTTATATCATATTTGTATTAAAAATTGGATTTTAGCATGGCAATAATCGGTCGGTCGGCTTGCTCGAATTCAACCGATCTAAGCGACCAGTTGAGTGGCGACCAAGCAATGGATTGGTTGGTCAAGGCGCCTAGCCGAATGTAGATTTCGTCTGCCACAGTAAAGGTGGGTCTATCGATCAGCCACAATCAAGAATTCATGTTCGCATTTCAGTTGGTCGGGACTGTCGGTGAGACATGCTATTTGAATCTCTCGACGCAATGTCTTAGTTAATTCATGACTGTGTCGTAGTGTATGGTAGGACGTCTTGGTTGTCTGGATGTCGTATAGGTCGTCCGGATGCTTTGAGATTTATGATAAAAGTTGTGGTGTATACATATTAGTTCCCTGAATTTTTCCACTTAAAAATGACAGCTATGATAAGGACGTAGAAATTAATAATCAACTTCCCTCGGATTATGTGCTCGGTGTGCTCTATAAATAGAGTCATAGGCTTGACAACGCATCCGTTGTTGTTATTTTTCTATGAGCAGTCGATTTTAATCATGGTCGATGATCTAAGGAAAGAAACACTATGTAGACCCCAAAATTCTTAGAAAAATGTGCTACAGGCCTTCAGCGCATGCAAAGAGAATCAAGGCTAGGAAGTAGAAGTGATAGAGGAAAAAAACCTGCGCTGGCTGATCGAGTCGGCTCATCTAAGAACCATAAGGGGTAGGTGTCGAAATTTCCTTGTCTCGAGACTGTGATTCCTGTGTCGGGCACGGGTGTGAGCTCTAGGGGCTAGCAAGCACTACTTACTGAAGGCGTTGTGGGGGCACATAGAAGATCTACATAGATTGTTATTCTGCCTCAATCTTTGTTATCAGAAGGTGAAGGTGCCTGTTGACCTCACTTTTGGTTGAGG